CCTTTAAAGTCATTAATAGTCACATATTGTGGTCTGATTTTATTTTTTTGTCTGAGACATTAGAACTGAGAAACGACCTTAATGTCATATATTGTAAAATAAAATAATATATTTTACAGAAAATTTTAACCTTTGCAATTCTTTTTGAATGTTAGAGTTTTGGAATTTTGATTTGGAAAATCATACAATTTTGAACTAGGAAAATATTTGATATAATATTGTAGACATTAAAAATATATGTCTAAATTCAATTAAATATCAAATATTTTGGAAGAAAATAAAATTTCAATAAAATAAATATTTGATATTTAATTATGCACATATATTAATTTTTGTACAATAAAAATCAATCATTAATGCAAAATCTTCTTAAAATGGAAGATATCGTACAAATATTACATACATAAATAGAGCCATAATGAATTTGACAGCAATAAAGGAAGTATATAAATTAATATCTTCTGAAAAACACAATGATATAAAGATTTTGGCAAGAAAGGAAGGCGCGCAATCAAATCCTTCGGGAATGGAAAACAGCATCTGATGGAAAAGGAAAAATTATAAAATCTTCATGTTGGCCAATCAAGACGCGCCATGTGGCACCATTAAAAAAGGAAGTCAAGGCCACCCCTTCCCTATAAATAGGAGCCATGGTCAGTTCATTTGACACACCGGAGTTACATTGAGGATTCAAGAAAATGGTAAGTCTCTAAACTTTCTCTGTATTGTTCTTCATGTTCTTCATGTCCTTCGAAGTGTTCTTCATCGAAAAGTTACCGATTTGGACAAATGATCCAATATTAGTTGACGAATCGATGAAGTTAACGTTCTTCATCGTATGTCCAAGTCGGAGGAATGATCAAAGCTTCCAAATCCGTTGAGGAATTCATTAAAACCAAGCGAAGGTCTCCAAAGTTCCTCTCAAAACTTCGAGATGTTCATCGCGTTATTCAACAAAGCATCAACTAAGCCCTCTTCAATCCAAAAGTCAAAGGGACACGCCGCCAAAAGTATTATGGAGCACCAAATCCACCTCTTCAGGGATCAAAGCTCCAAAAGCCGTCGAAGAATTTATCAAAGCCAAGGAAAAGCATCCAAAGTTCATCACAAAGCTTCAAGGTGTTTATTGCGTTCTTCAACAAAGCATCAAGCAGGCCCTCTTCGATTCAAAAGTCAAAGGGACATGCCGCCAAAAGTGTTATGGAGCACCAAATCCACCTCATCATGGATCAAAGCTCCAAAAGCCGTCGAAGAATTCATCAAAGCCAAGAAAAAGCATCCAAAGTTCATCCCAAAACTTCAAGGTGTTCATCGCGTTCTTCAACAAAGCATCAACCAGGCCCTCTTCGATCCAAAAGTCAAAGGGACATGCCGCCAAAAGTGTTATGGAGCACCAAAACCACCTCTCAAGGATCAAAGCTCCAAAAGACGTTGAAGAATCCATCAAAGCCAAGGAAGAGCAACCAAAGTTCATCCCAAAGCTTCAAGGTGTTCATCGCATTCTTCAAAAAAGCATCAACCAGGCCCTCTTCGATCCAAAAGTCAAATGGACACGCCGCCAAAAGTGTTATGGAGCACCAAATCCACCTCTTGAATGATCAAAGCTCCAAAAGTTGTTGAAGAATCCATCAAAGCCAAGTAAGAACATCCAAAGTTCATCCCCAAAGCTTCAAGGTGTTCATCGCGTTCTTCACCAAGTATCAACTCGGCCCTCTTTGATCCAAACGTCAAAGGGATATGCCGCCAAAAGTGTTATAGAGCACCAAATCCACATCTTCAAGGATCAAAGCTCCAAAAGTCGTTGAAGAATCCATCAAAGCCAAGGAAGAGCATTCAAAGTTCATCCCAAAGCTTCAAGGTGTTCATCGCGTTCTTCATCAAAGCATCAATTCGGCCCTCTTCGATCCAAAAGTCAAAGGGATACGCTGCCAAAACTATTATGGAGCACCAACTCCACCTCTTCAAGGATCAAAGCTCCAAAATTCGTTGAAGAATCCATCAAAGCCAATGAAGAGCATCCAAAGTTCATCCCAAAGCTTTTATGATATGTTGTTCCTTCCATAGGTATGTCGAACTGATAACAGATCCACTACATCCATTCAATTCAATTCTACATAATGTTGGAATCTATCCAATGCCTGAAGGGATTTCTTCCAACTAGGTTAAATCGAACAGTCTAAGCAACTCAAGTAGGGAAATTGATGGTCCCACAAGATGTATTTATACGCCTTAAACTTCAATCCTGATCTTTCTTGAACGATGCAGCGGAATGGAATGCAAACTGAAAATGTTTGTTGTGTTCAGAGTTATGTTGTCTGCTTGAGATTCGAAGAACGAACAAGCAACAAAAAGTATAGTGCAGAGTGAATCGAAACAAACAGCACACCAGCGTTTGTTGACCCAGTTCGGCCTTCAACCGCCCTACGTCTGGGGGGTACCAACTTAGGGTAATTCCACTATGACTAAGGCAGGAACAAGATACAAAATTCCTCACACAAACTCCATAAATCTCTAGTCACAAAAACTCAATTAAAATGCATTGGTTTCCCTACCACATGCAAGTGCACCTTCCTTCACAAAGGCAAGTGTGCAAGGCCGCGACCTCCGTTGGCTTGTGCTCCGAGATTGGATGAGGGTGTAGGCAGCTTCACCCTTTCCTCCTTCAACTCTCCTTGGAATCCCCTTTGCACCAAACAAACACTCGGCGGTTTGTCAACACAGCATACAACAACGATCCCTTAAGGATTTGATTTTTGGCTTCGAATCTCCAGCAATTTTGACCAGGTTCAAACTCAAGTTGTAGAGAAAATCTTCTCAAAATTTTCTACTCAAAACATGGCCTAACCACACAACGAAAATACCTCAAAATAAAATAGTACACTCCCTCTCAACAAGAAGTATGACTCAACTTATTACACCATGAGATTTCAGCTTTTCATAAGGAAATACTGATGAGAAGAACTCTAAGTTTCTAGCTCTAAGCTCATGAAACTCACTCCTAATTCTGTCTCAATGAATCATGAAAAACTTAAAGAACAACAAACTTAGGAAGTATGTATATATAGGATATACAACCTTTCCTTTGGCCAATAAAAATTCGACACAACAATCTTCCAATAGGTCAAACAAATTTGGACATATTCAAAGACATGTATCTGACCATAAAAGACGAAATTTGACAGGTCTATATCCTCGTAAATGTCCTAGGAAGAGATGATAATCAAATATTACCTCTTTTGGTAATGAGAGTGATAGACTTTTTCTTCCTTCAAATTTGACCTCTTTTTGTATGCAAGCTCGTGGAACAAAGCCCTTTTGTCTTTGTATGAAGTAGGACAGGGTAGAAGTGGCCTGAAGACTAACTATGTCTGTGAGATATATATTTTGTCTCACCTTAAAGCTTTTTCAATGACAAGAACATCATACTTCAAACCATGAACTTGAGCAGGTTGCAGTCTTACAAATAGCTAATTGGTTGTCTGATCTGTCTACGGATCCCAAAGGGACTGAGTTTCCCTTCTTTTTTCTTCCTATTCTTTTGACTTTCCAAATCAATGCTAGCACAATTTCTCTTGTACTTTTTGCCTTTGAAATATGTAGGATTTGAATTGCCTTTTTATTTTTCAAAAAGACTTTTTCCATCTCAGAAAATATGTTGCAAAACATTCCACATCAGCAGACAGCATGGACAGTTTAGCACCAGTTGGTTGTCTGATCATTCAGTGGATCCCCGATTCATCAAACAAAATTTATACCAACAGAAATGTTCCTTTATCAGCTCTCCACTGCACTAAACTGTTACAAATAATACTCAAATCTCTTAATCGAACAAAGTCAGCCTCAACTGGATTCCATTCAGACCCTTTAGTGGCATAAATCAACTCAAGTTTCTGTAGATTGGGTAATAAGCCAATTATCGACATACCACTCCAAGGAATTTTCGATCTAGAGTGCCACAGGAGCAACTCTTTAAGAGAACTTGGAAAGGCAATGTTGTCTGGAGCATTTGATATTTTTAATGACTGAAGATTCGGGAGTCGGACAAGATTACAAAGAGAATGGTCCATGCTTGCTTTAAAGTCATAATTATATGAGACATCCTATGTCTTTAGCTCAGGAATTATGTCCAAGACATGTTTGGTGCACTTGAAATTCTTAATTCCAGAGAGCATCTGCAGAATTTTGAGAATAATTAAGCCTTACTCCTCAACATGAGTTGCAGAAACTCCTGGAGGATCTGCCAACATGAAGCCACCCCCGCTAAATATGAAATGCCTAAGCTGTGGCATTTTCCACACTTCACCGGTGAAAAATACTCCTCGTCTAAAATGTAGCTTTAGAAACTGAAGATTCCATAGAAAGTGAAGTGTTAGAACAGATCTCATAATTTGAATGGAAACAATATAGAAACATAACGAACTTGAGTCGGATGCACAAATACTAATTGATCATACCCCTTAACCATGGTTTTATTCAGCCTTCCACCTTTAACATGTGATCTCAGAACATGTTTCAACTTGTCAATGGTGCCCATGAAAGCAGACTTGGGATGCAGAAACTCTAATTGATCATTCTCCTCAACCATGGATTCCACCAGCCTTCCCCCTTGAACATGTGAATACACCACTCTGCAAGCATCACAAAGGGATCGATGAATTTCTTGTGATGACTGTGATTGGGATAAAAGAACAAATTTCAGGACATCTGTAGCATCTTGATGGCTGGTTTCCTGGGTACAAAGAAAGCTTATCTTTTTTGATCTAGCATCTATTGAGTCTTGCACCTTTGGTGATCGAATAAACAGCTCCTTGTTATATTCTTTTGCACCCAAGTCTCGTAACAGATCATGAATACCACAATAGATCCCAGTTTATCGTATAAAAACTAGATTCCTGGCAATAAGATCATCCAGAAAATCTGTAGCAGTGTCCTCCAGATTTATACTATTCATTTCTCTTATCAATCCATTAGCTATCCACACTCGAATAAATTCGTCAACTTCAATCCGACAGTCTTCGGGATAAGAGCTCATATAGAGGAAACATGGCTTCAGGTGGATTGGCTTTATAAATCAAAGACAATCTCTTTAAGCAATGCTCATCATGTTCACAATTAACATAGGAGCTGACATTGTCCGCGACAGACTCCCAATATTTTGGAGACATGTCAGACTTTGCAAGTAGGCCGCCAATTACAATAATTTCTAACGGAAGTCCATTGCAACTTCGGACAATTTTTCGCGCAAATGATTCTAATTCTGGATATGGACAATTGTCATTTGCGAAGACCATCTGACAAAATAAACTCCAACTTTTATTCTGGTCTAGAAAAGTCATCGGATAAGAGTTGTGAGGGTTCAGATAACCAGCCACATTTGCAAGCCGAGTAGTCATGACAATCCGGCTCCTATTATTGTAATCTGGAAGACAAATTCTTAAATCATTCCAGGCCTTTTCACTCCACACATCATCCATAACAATTAAATATCGTCTGCCAAATAATTCCTTGTGCAAAGCCTCCACTAATCTATCAGAATCTCCATCGCGTGTTTTAACTTCCCCATCATGTAGAAGACCTGATAGAATGTCTTGAACAGTATATTCTTGTGATATTGTAATCCAAATACGCCTATTAAAGTGGTCGACGATACATTGGCTATTGAAAACAGCTTTAGCTAGAGTAGTTTTACCAATACCACCCATCGCTACAATGGGGATGATTTGGAGTGCACATTCATCTCTAGTCAGAAAATCTATAACTACATTGAAATGTTCATCGAATCCAAGAATTGTAGTCTTGTCGTGGAGCTGTCTTCCAGAGAGAGCAACCTCCAAGCTAGCTACTGAAATGCCGCCATGATCGGATGCTTTTTGTTGTTTTCCAGATTGCAATAAGGCGTCCTCCACCAACAGCTCTTCTTTTATAGAGTTAATCTTTTGGATCACTCCCACAATATCATCAAAGTTTCCGATTACGAACTGTTGTTGGCCTCTGGAAGAAGTTGGAAAGTTTGTACATGACGAAACACCACAAAGCACTCAAAAAGGCTAAACACTATTACTAAGAATACCCGAGAACATAACCATAAAACCTAACCTCGAGGTATAGCAATAAAGAATACACATCACATAGTCACGTAGACAACAATCACATAGAAAACAATCAATTTGGGACACAATATGCTTTAATCACAGAAAAGCTACTAGACCACAAAAAATCAACATACAATCCAAATAATACACATGGTTTTTAAAGATTCATATCAATTTATATTACATAGAACACTGAAGGAAACACATCACAAATATAATCCACATAATGCTAACTGACAATCAAATTTAATTATCCACAAAGATCAATTAAAGAATACAAGCAATCAACCACATAGAAATAAAACAACAAACATTAATGTATTCCTATATTTTCACAATTAGTTTTATTTTAGGAAAACATGCCCATTTTTAACTAATTTTTCTATAGAAACAAGCAATTTGATTTATACACATAACATTTTATTATTCACAAAGAACATACGGAGGAATGAATCAATAAACCAGCTACCTAGTATAAAAAAACAAAAATCCAACACATGCATTTCACTAAGAAATTTGCAACCAAATCAATTTTATTTTTGATTATCATCAAATTATACATCACTACGAAAAAAATAACATATTTGTCATTAGTAACGGAAAAAGTAGATTTAAGGACCAAAAAAATATTGTTACAAAAATGCTATTTTCTTGTAACAAAAATTAGGGACGGATGACGTTAGTTATGTGAACCTTAAGAACGGAATTTTCGTCCCTAATGTCATTAGTAATGAAAAAAGTAGATTTAGGGACGAAAAAATATTATTACAAAAAATGCTATTTTCTTGTATTACATTCTGTTTAGACATATTTCACTAATACCAATCATGTAATTTTTTATTTCACAAAGAAAATTAAAACATGCATATATAAAAATAATAAAAAAATAAAACATGCATTATTGCAATAAACTACCAAAAAAAATAGTATATTGGTAACGAAATTTCGTTCTTAAAGTTTACGTAGCTACCATAATTCTATCTCTAAATCCGTCTCTAATGTTGTTAGTAACGGAAAAAGAGAATTTAAAGATGAAAACATTTCGTTATAAAAATAATAATTTTCTTGTTGTATACCATTTGTAACGTGCCAGAAGGTGACACGCCCGGCGCCCAGGCCCAAAGGCCCAAGCCAGCTGTCTCTTGTGCGCAGCTGTAGACATTAAAAATATATGTCTAAAATCAATTAAATATCATGTATTTTGGAAGAAAATAAAATTCCAATAAAATAAATATATGGTATTTAATTATGCACATATGTTAATTTTTGTACAATAAATATCAACCATTAATGCAAAAATATGCTTAAAATGGAATATATCATACAAGTATTGCGTGCATAAATAGAGCCATAATAAATTTGGAAGCAAAATAAATTAATCTTGTTAATAAAGGAAGTCTATAAATTAATATCTTCCAAAAAAGGCAATGATCTAAAGATCTTGTCAATAAAGGAAGTATATAAATTAATATCTTCCAAAAAAAACAATGATATGAAGATTTTGTCGAGAAAGGAAGGTGCACAATCGAATCCGTCAAGAATGGAAAGCAGCATCTGATGGAAAATGAAAGATTATAAAATCTTTCCATCCACGTGGCACCATCCGAAAAGGAAGCCAAGGCCACCCTTCCCTATAAATAGGAGCCTTGACCAATTCATTAGACACCGAAGTTGCATCGAGGATTCAAGCAAAGGGGTAAGTCTCTAGACTCTCTCTGTATTGTTCTTCATGTTCTTCGTGTCCTTCGAAGCGTTCTTCATCGAAAGTCACTAATTTGGACAAATGATCCAATATTGGTTGACGAATCGATGAAGTTAACGTTCTTCGTCGTATGTCCAAGCCGGAGGAAGGATCAAAGCTCTCAAAGCCGTCGAGGAATTCGTCAAAGCCAAGGGAAGGTCTTCAAAGTTTCTCTCAAAGCTTCGAGGTGTTCATCGCGTTCTTCATAAAAGGCGCAAACCAGGCCTTCTTCGATCCAAAAGTCAAAGGGACACGCTGCCAAAAGCGTTATGGAGCACTAAATCCACCTCTTCAAGGATCAAAGCTCTCAAAGCCGTTGAGGAATTTGTCAAAACCAAGGGAAAGTCTCCAAAGTTCATCCTAAAGCTTCGAGGTGTTCATCGCATTCTTCACCAAAGCAACAACTCGGCCCTCTTCGATCCAAAAGTCAAAGGGATATGCCACCAAAAGCGTTATGGAGCACCAAATCCACCTTCTCAAAGATCAAAGCTGCGGATCGTTTAAAGAGGACATCAAATCCAAAGCTTAGGATCAAATCACCCGCACAGAGACCAAAGACCTCTAAAAGCGGCAAAAACAAATCAAAGATCAAAGCTGCGGATCGTCCAAAGAAGATATCAAATCCAAAGTTGAGGATCAAATCGCCCACATGGAGACCGAAGCTCTTCAAAAGGCGGAAAAGGCAAACTAAAGATCAAAGTCGCGGATCGTCTAAAGAAGACAACAAATCCAAAGACGATGATCAAATCGCCAATGCGGAGACCAAAGTCCTCCAAAAGCGGCAAAGCTAAAGCGAAGGTCAAAGTCGCGGATTGTCTAAAGAAGACAACAAATCCAAAGCCGATGATCAAATCGCCAATGCGGAGACCAAAGTCCTCCAAAAGGCGGCAAAGCCAAATCAAAGATCAAAGCCTCGGATCGTCTAAAAAAAGACATCAATTCCAAAGCTGACGATCAAATCGCCCGCACGGAGACCAAAACCCTCCAAAAACCGGCAAAGTCAAACTGAAGACCAAATCTCTTTGGATCAAAGAAGCCATCGAAAACAAAGTTGGAAAATAAATCGACCCGAAAGGAGAATCAAAGGACCCATTTAGAGAATAGGACCCGCTTTAAATTCAAATCAAATATAATTTGTACAAATTTTGTGTTTATTAAAAATAACACAATTTTTTGTCCACAGATTTTTGGCACCCCCAGTGGGACAACTCTACCTTTCATCTCTCTTTCCGTCGAACGATCAATGGCTTTCTACAAGATCAAGACTTCTAACGTTGTGCCGAAAGCTGTTGCTCTAGCCGCCGCCGCCAAAGGAGTCGCTACTACTACATCAAGAACCTCAAGTGCTTCAACGAATGCTGGAGTGATGACACGAAGCATGGCTAAAAGAGTACTCTCATTTTCCGAGGATGCACATCCGAAAATCACAGAGCAAAACTTACTCTATGAGGAGGACGAAAGCTTCAAGAGTACCTCCGCATTGTTCACCCCTCAAGAAACTGCAAGTCATTCAACCACATCAAGCTCTATTCCGGTAATGACTACCAACGCTTCAAATATTGAGGACCTAAAGATTGTGGATCAAAGTCTGCTCTGCGAGGAAGATCAAAGCTTCATAGGCACTTTCATGCCACATACTCATCGGCCAATTTCAAGTCATTTAACCGCATCAAGCTCTGCTCCGGTGATGACTATCAACGCTTCAAATATAGAAGATCAACTTGCAGCATTGGCCAAAATCATTGAAGGGATGTCTCAACACATGCAACAACAAGACGCCCTCATCGAAAAACTTCTCATAAAACTGGACAACCTAAAGAAGCTGGCCATGCAACCGAACAGCAACCATCTTCCCCAGTTGCCCAAAATAAAATGACAACATTTGTGGAGCAACGTCATGGCAAAGAAAAGGTGGCGGAATTAAATCCATTTCAAGGATCATCCAACTCCTTCATCCATATATCCCAACTTGACAAATACATCAAATAGGCAATCAAAAGAGAATTCGAAGGGAGTTCAAGGCAGACGTACACTTACGCCAAGCCTTACATTGCAAGGATTGACGCCCTCAAAATGCCAACGGGCTATCAACCACCAAAGTTTCAACAATTTGACGGCAAAGGCAACCCAAAGCAACATATAGCGCACTTTGTCGAGACATGCAACGATGCTGGAACATATGAAGACCTCCTAGTCAAAAAATTTGTGCGGTCACTAAACGGCAACGCCTTCGATTGGTACATTGACTTAGAGGCTAGTTCTATCGACAATTGGGAACAGTTAAAGCACGAGTTCTTGAATCAGTTCTACAGCACAAGGAGAACCGTCAGCATGACTGAACTCACCAACAGCCGCCAATGGAAAGACGAACCAGTAGTTGACTACATCAACTGCTGGAGAAGTCTAAGCCTCAACTGCAAAGACCGTTTGTCCGAGGCTTCCGGCATAGAAATGTGCATTCAAGGGATGCAATGGGGCTTAAAATACATCCTACAAGGGATCCGACCCCATACTTTTGAAGAACTCGCCACTCGCGCTGATGATATGGAATTGCGCATGATGTCTAGTGGAATGTATGGACCGCCTACTGAAGATTTCTCAGATGACGAGAAATACAACACTTCCAACAGTGGGGGCAATCATACCTACAACACTCCTGGAAACGAGGATAAACTTTCTACAATCTCCTAAAAACAAGAATAAACTTTCTTCAATCTCCTGGAAACGAGGATAAACTTTCTACAATCTCCTAGAAACGAGGATAAACTTTCTACAATCTCTTAGAAATGAGGATAAACTTTCTTCAATCTTTGAACTACGTTATGACTTGATTCCTTAACCGGATACGTAGGCAACTTGGAATATAACTCCAAGTTCAGTCAATTATGCCAAAAAAAAAAAGAAAAGAAAAGCCCTAAAAAACAAAAAAAAAAAAAGTCCAAAAAAAAATCGAGCTTAAAAAAAATCAATTGAACAAAAAAAAATCTCATCCAGAAAAAAAAAAGAAAAAAGAAAAAAAAAAGCCCTTTGAAAAAAAAAATATTGGCTAAAAAAATAAAAAAGGATATCCATAAAAAAAAAAATCAGTAAAAAAGAAAAATTGACTTATGTTTCGAGACTCATTCACACCTTAAACGCTTTGCGTCGGCTTAAAAGAGTCTCGAGGGGGCATTTGTAGACACTAAAAATATATGTCTAAAATCAATTAAATATCATGTATTTTGGAAGAAAATAAAATTCCAATAAAATAAATATATGGTATTTAATTATGCACATATGTTAATTTTTGTAC